GCCAAGACCATTCTAAATCCTATTTGTTAGTCTAAGAATTTATTCCATCCCATTTCTGTTCACCTTTTTCATAGCCCACACTTCCCTATTGTATGTTTGTTTATTTGTTTTAGACTTTCATTATAGATGGAAAGGTATAGGTTTGAAGCGAGGAAATGATCCATAACCAACATCCCTTGCCTAAGTCTTCTGCCAGTCTCACGGCCATTTCTTGGCCTCTAGAGACTGGGGCTCTCCAGGCACTGGCTTAAACTCACACCTGTTGGGTTTTTTGTTTTTTTTTTGTGTGTTTTTTTTTTTTTTTTTGGTGGAACTGGGGATTGAACTCAGACCCTTGCGCTTGCCAAGGAAGTGCTTATTCCACTGTGCCAGTTCCCCAGCTCCCCTGTTGTGTTTCTTCACCTGCTGGTGTGCAGAATATAGAAGCCAGGTCAGCAGCCCTGGCTCCCCCTAGCTGTCCTTCCAGTATCCTTTCTGTTCTTACACTGAGCCTGCTGGATCTATTGATTAGTTGCCCTCTTGTGTTTTCTGAACTAAGAATCGATTAGTTATTATAATCATAATAGTAATCTTGGGCACTTGTGTTGCATATCCCTTTTAAAGCACTGTTACATTTATTATCCCGTTTTATTTTATTTATTTATCGTGGTACAGGGGATTGAATTTAGGACCTTGCACTTGCCAGGCAAGCACTTATTCTACTGAGCTATCTCCCTGGCCTTATATTTAATTTTTTAAAGGCAGCCTGGAAAGTGAGTTGCCCACAGGAGAAGACAATGGCAAGGCCAGGATCACTTTGACTCTCAGTTCAAACCTCAGCAAATCAGGGTGGTGTTTGGAAGGAGCAAGAAGTGGGATTATTTGATACCTCTCTGCTGGGGAGAAGGGAAAGCAAGTTAAACCCCAAGAGGTGGCCTGGAGGATCACTGCAGGATGTCTGACCTGCTCTTTGTAGTCCCTGAAACTTGGGAAAGCAACAGAACAATTGTGACCTGGGGTTCTGGGACTGAAGTTTCCTAAAAGAAAACTCAGTAATTTCTGAAAGTCTCACCTACTTTTAATAATTCCCCAAATCCCTGAATCTAAACCAGGCTCTATCCCCCTCTCTCCCCTTTCCAACCTAACTAGAAAATGTGGGTGGATTGAGAGAGAACAGAAAAGAAAGATCAAAACTGTGACAACCCTCTGACAACATTTTAACTTGAAAATTGCCTCCAAATCGTCGGGATAATTCTGTGTAGGCAGACGCAAGGCAGGCGCAGATTCCCTGCAGCCCTCCTCCTTCTTATTTCCACAGCAACCTCCTGAAGAGATGGGGCCTGGAGCTGACCACCAGCTTTGGGAAAACCAGCTTGACCTGGCTCCTCGGTGAAGCCTCTGCTTGCTGCCCAGTGGATGTGGTCTTTTCCTTTTCTGAGTCCCCCCAGACTGTGTCCCCTGCACCTCTGACCCTCACCCAACTGCATCTGACTGATTTCCCCGAAGCAGTGGCTGACACCCTCTGTATCCCCACCCCCCACCCTGCTCAATGGGCACCAGGAGGCACTCGCTGAGTGGTTGGGAGCCAGCTGAAAAGCCAGGAGTTGGGTTCCAAGCAGCCCTCTCCAGGGCTTTGTTAGGTGCCAGTTTAAAGGGCTGATCCTGCATGCCCTTCACACCCAAAAAAAAAAACCAAAACAAAAACAAAAACAAAAAAACAGAAGACACTTCCTTGAATGAGCCAAAGAAGTGTGCGTGGCTCTGGGCAAAGCCCTTCCCGTGGGCAGGACCATGGTGTGGGTGCCTCTGCCACCTGCCCAGCCTCAGGCTGGTTTCTCCCCTCATCTGTTCCCTCACAGCAGGTAGAGTCACACTTGGGTCCTCTGGACAAAGAAATGGCAGAGTGAGAGGGTCTACCTAGGCCCTGTGTCCCCAGTGTCTGTCTCCTGTCTTTGAGGCTTTGTGAGTCATCTAACCCCTCCTGCCTCCGCCTCTGACTCTGTAGCCTAACAGGGGCTGCCTGCACAGTGACAGCTACTGCTAATGATGAGTGACAGCCACAGGGAGGGGTGGCTGGGGACATGGGAGGGATTGGTACACAGGGAGGAAAAAGAGGTGGTAAGCTTACAGCCTTACAAGGCACCCCAAGTGCTGTAAGTGGATCTCCCCAAGTTCTGGCCCCACTAGAATAACCTCCCATCAGCAGAGGGTGGCACTGCTGGTCCAGCTGAGAGCACAGCAGCACCTTGGCAGGTGAGCTGAGCTGAGAACCTTGTCAGCAGCCAGGAGATCGTACGTTGTGGCAGGATTGGAGCAGCGTTTGCAGCTCTCCAGCCTGACACCTCTTCCTCTGGTCACAGAAGCAGGGCAGCCTGCATAGAACCAGCCCTCTTACTGGAGCAGTTGGGTTCCAAGTGGTCCCATAGTCCTGCGTCCCCACTGTGGTGGAAAAGACAGCCTGCTGTCCATTCCTGGGGCACTGTCCACGGGCACCAGCACTCCTTTCTCCTTAGTCCCACGGTGTCCCTTAGCTCTGTCCTACTATGGGTTGCCACCTTACCGTCAGCACCCAGAACTGTGGTGCAGTCCAGCTCCCAAGCTCCTGCTCTGTGATGAGGGAAAGGATAGGCCTTGACACAGATGGGGACGGCTGTGAAGGGAAGGGATTCAGGAGGACACTTAGTGGGGGGGAGGGGGTTCCCTCAGGGCCTGTCTCTGAGGGATGGGAGCAGGGAAGAGCCAAAACCCAGCCTAAGCCACCCTGACCCTGCTCTCCCTGTGGGCTGGTCACACCTACCCTAAGGGGGCCAGGACTGCAAAAGACATGCATCTGTGATGGGGTCCACGTGTTCAGGAAAGACCTGCATGAAGCATTTTGTCCACCCCAAGCCCTGTGTGAAGACAGGGGGAGAGCAGAATGGTCTTGGACAAAGCCGTAGGGCCACTGCAGCCTGGCCCAGTGTGGACGGGGCAGGTGCGTGTCTATGCCCACGGGGCTGGGCAGTTGCTCATCTTCACAGCTCCTCTTGGGCACTTACTCTGCTGAGGTGGGCCCTAGGAATGACTATGTCCCATGTGTGCACACCCGTGTTGTGCTGGGGTCCAAGGAGGGACGTGCCTGTAGGTCTGTGCCGTGTGCTCATCCTCGAGGCCAGGGAGCCCACGTGAGGTGGACATGGGGATGGGCCACTGGGCCACCAGGGACCCAAGGAGCCCAGGATCCAGAGCTGGGCTGGCTTGGGTGCTGAAAGGACTTGGGGTGCGCTTGTACCTGGAAGTCCTTCCCATGCCCTGACCCTCCCCTCACCAGCCCCACAGCCTGCACTTCCGTAGCCCTGTATGCAAAACTCAATTCCCAGGGCCTTGGAAAAGGCTGGAGCGAGGATGCTTCCTTCTTCCCTGCCTTGGCAGTTCCATACTGTTGGTCTCCTCAGCTCAATCCAGGCCACCGCTTCTCTCTCTGCCAATAATCAGCACCGATCCACAGTGCCTAGGAGGGAGAGAAGTGGCATGGCTGGGCGAGGATGCCTTTACATCAGTGCTTTGCAGCCCTGGCTGTGAGAGCCTGGGAGTGGTCCCAGCCAGTTAATCCAGTGTCTGGGGAAAAGCGCTCAGGCTTTGGGACTCAGCTTCCTCTGTGGTTCTCCAGGGCAGTGCAAGGGGTTGTGAGGACCTCTGGTTAGATGCAGCAACTGTATCATTTCATTTCTGTTATGATTTGTGTGTATTTGTCCCCCAAAGCCTCATGCAGTCATTGAGGCGCACTTCTACAGTTTGATTAATGCATGAGCCAAGGCTGGGATTATGGGTCTGAGTACTGCTGGGATTATGGGTGTGAGTGCTTCTCCCAGCCTGAATGTAATTTAAGAGAGATAGACCAGACTTCCTCTCTGTAGCCATTGTTGCCGCTACTCCTTCATTTATTCTTTTGCTCTCTGCTGTGTGCCGCTTTACCTTGGAGCCAGCTGGACTGAAACCTCCAGTAATTGTGAGCTAAATAAACCTTTCCTTCCTTCATTTTAGGTGTCGGGTATTTGTCCCAGCAACAAGAAGAGTAACTGAGACAATTTCTTAGGAAAAGTGATGGGGGATACGGTATTGTTTCCTGCTTTTCAGTTTGTTAGAAATAACTCATTATCCATTAATGAAAAGAAAAAAAAAAAAGAGCATGGATTTTACCCTAAGTTTTAAATGTACTCTCTGCCACTGTGACCTGGGGCAGGGACTTAACCCCTCTGAGCTTATGAGTCACCTGTAAAGTGGAGTCCCTGGGGCTGCATGAACATGAACTCTATTACATGTGAAGTTCTAATGCTCCTTTCCTGAATCCCAACCTGAGGGAGATCAAACTGGCTCTCAGAGTCTGACGGGAACCAATCACAGCTCCCTGCCAGCTCCAAGCAGATTTCGCCCTCCTCGGAGCAGGGGGAAGCCCCGGAGGCCAGTGTCAGAGCAAGACAGCACACGTTCCTCACAGGCTTCTGTAAGCGGAGAAGGGTGAAGCGTGGCCCAGGAGAAGGCAGTTTGATCCCAGTCCGGATCTGTTTCCAGATATCTCAGTGACCTCCCCGTTGATGGGTGGAGAAGCTGAAGTTCTGAGAAGCTGATCTGCAGGGAGCTCTTCCTCTCAGGATGTTAGGAAGGAAGCATGGGAGGGATGAGCCGGGTCTTCTCAACATAAGCAGCTGGGGCTGGAGGGGCTGAGACCCTGGCGGAGGCAGTGGGGCAGAGACCCCCTTCTCCTGCAGTGCCCGCGGGGCAGAGGCTCTCAGGCAGGACCTAGGAGGTATCTGCAGGGGGTTTAGATTCCAGTAAGACCCAATCCTATCCAGGGGGGAGAGGAAGTCCTGGGACAGGGAGTGTATCTCCTGTCTGTCTGTACAGACACACATACATATGCACGTACACAACACGCACACCCCCTCACACACCCAGGCCTAGCTGTGGAGAAGGGAAAGGAACCCAGACACTGTTCTCATTGGAAAAACTTAAAACATCACGTGGCTCATTTTTATTTTATCTCAGAAAACAAACAAACAAAACATCCCCTTTATAAGAACAGGCAGTTAGACAGGGGCTCTGATTGGGCAGCTCAGAGTTATCCAGGCACAGGCCCATGGCCTGCTAGCCATAACCTCTCCCTGAAGCCTAGCCCACAGCGTGGCCCTGTTCCCATCACAGCTCCCCATTGTCCAGCCCAGATTTGTTGCCCCCGAGAGATGGCCCTGGGACTAAGTGCATGGTAGCGTATGGCAGGTGGAGAGGGCTGCCTGAGATTTCCTGGGCGGACTCCTGGTGCCAGGTTAGCAGAGGACAGGGAGGGGAGGATAATAAAATAAAAAGGACTTCCTTGTTCATGTCTTCTCCTGGAAAACATACTCAAATGCCACCTCTGGCCAGCAGCTCCCTAAGCCCTAGAGTCTAGGGAGGTGGTGCGTGTGGGTCTAAGCCCTAGGAAGGTGGTGTGTGTGGCATGTCTGTCGCAGCCGTTGCCCAGTCCAAGGCCAACCCAGTCTGCTAAGCCACAGCTGTTCTGTAGACAATGTGAGACTTCTAGATGCTTCTGGAGGGAGGACTGGGCCCTGCTAAGCCAACATGCTGTTGGGGCTGCAACCCTGGCATAGTTGCAGGGCCTCAGAGCACAAAACATGTTTCCCCGGACCCCACCGTTTTTGCTGGGCCTCATGCTGCTCCAGCTTGGGGCTCCTTCATCTCAGTCCACAGCAGCAACCAGATGCCCACGGGACTCTGGGCAGGCAGTCATTCTCCTCTTCTCCTGACATGACTGGTGCAGCCAACCAGAAAGATGGAATTTCCTTCCTTCAGGAAGGGGCAGACTCTGTGGGCCATCAGGACACTCCTGCTCGGCCTTGGGCCAGGGGCTCCTCCAGGCTGGGGGATTCTGGACACATTCCCTTGTGCTCATGGCTGAGCAGCTCCACATCTGAGAGGCTGGCATCCCCACGGGACCCTTGGGCACTGCCTCCACTCACCAGCCCCAAGACATAGCCATTGGGCCGCTGCTCAGGATGGGGGGCACCGCCGTTAGCCCACATCCCCGGGGGGTGGCCATTGAGTCGGACGCTGACCTGCTCACCCTCCGAGCTGTGAGCTGCCAAGGCCCGGGCACTGGTGCCCCCAGCCTTGAAGAGTTCCCTCCGCCTCAGGATGTGGCTGCGAATGATCTTGCGGAAGGTTTGGCGGAACTCCCGGATGCGGTAGGCATAGATGAAGGGGTTGACGACGGAATTGCTGTGGGAGAGAATGATGGCCAGGTACATGAGCCAGGGCGGGGCATGTCTGCACTGCGGGCAGAAGAAGGTAAAGCAGTTGATGATATGCAGGGGCAGCCAGCAGAGCGCGAAGAGCCCCACGATGATGGCCAGTGACTTGGCAGCATGGACCTCCTTCTGAAGCGTAGACCGAGTCCGTTCCCCTGGCAGAGGCTGGGTCTCCATCTGTTTCAGCTGTCGCCGAGCTGCCAGAAAGATCCGCAAGTAGATGCCCAGCATGAGCAGCAAGGGCACCAGCACAAAAGCGAAGAAGTTGTAGTATACCATGTAGTTCATGGGCACCACGTCCTCAAAGAGACAGGTCACCTGGCCCTCATCACAGCTCTGGGAGTGGTTCTTGTCCTTCTTTGGCTGACTACAGTTGTTCCAGCCTAGCATGGGCGTCAGGCCGATGGCAAATGACAGCACCCAGCAGATTGCAATGATGCCCTTGGCCCTCGTGCAGGTCACCAAGCCATTGTACCTGAGGACAGGAAACCAGCATCAGAGGACTGAGAAAGCAGGGCTAGTCAGGACCAAGAGTCAAGAAACCCAGGGCTTCTGGGTGTGGTGAAGGCTGATGCAGAAGGATCACAAGATCATGCCCAGCCTGGGCACCTTAGCCAGACCCTATCTCAAATTTTAATTTTTTTTTTTTTTTTTTTTTTTTGTGGAACCGGGCATTGAACTCAGGCCCTTGCGCTTGCCAGGCAAGTGTTTATTCTACTGAGCCATCTCCCCAGCCCTTAAAAAATATTTTTAAAGGGGTAGGGATATAGCTCAATGTGAAGACCCTGGATTCAATTCCCAGTACTGGAAAGAAAAGAAGGAAGGAAGGGGGAGGGAAGAGGGGAGAAAGAGAGAAAGAGAGAGAGAGAGAGAGAGAGAGAGAGAGAGAGAGAGAGAGAGAGAGCCAAATAGCTCAGTGGATTAAAGTGCCTGCAAGCAGGCATAGGGGCTGGGGGATCGATCCCCTGGGCCTGCTGTGCCAGCCCTGCCCCCGGGGCCTGCTTAGACTGTAATTGAGACTGGGTGTGGTGGTGTGCGCCTGCAATCCCAGCTCTTAAGAGGCTGTAAACAAGATCACTATGAGTCCGATATAGTAGTGAGACCCTGAACACCCTTTAGACCCTTCCCTAAAAAAATACCAAAAAAAAAAAAAAAAAAAAAAAGAGAGAGAGAGAGAAAGAAAAGAAAAGAAAAAGAAAGAAAAAACAAAAAAGAGAGAAAAGAAAGAAGGGTGGGAAGGAAGAAGAGAGGAAAAGGAAGGAAGAGAAAGCCAGCCAGCCAGAGCTGCATGCATTTGGCCCCTCACTGACTGGCTATAAGACCTTGGAACAGTCACTTCCTGTCTCTTAGTCCTGGCACCTTCTTCTTCTTCTTCTTTTTTGTGGAACCGGGGATTGAACTCAGGCCCTTGCGCTTACCAGGCAAGTGCTTATTCCACTAAGCCATCCCCCAGCCCCACCTTCTGTTGAGTGAGGTTTTGGCCTTGCTTTCCCAAAGCCTGCTGGGAGGAAACAGGAAAACAGGTACCCCTAAGATGGAAACCACTACTGGGCATGGTGGTACACACCTGTAATCCCAGCACTCAGGAGGCTGAGGCAAGAGGATCGTTGTGATGGGCGTCTGAGACCCAGCCTAGGTTACATGGTGAGTTCAAGGCCAGTCTCAGTGACATAGCAAAACCTTATCCCAAGCAAACAAACAAAAAAGTGAAGTCTCTCCAAGAAAAGCAACTCTTTTTTTTTTTTTTTTTTTTTTTGAGTGGTACCGGGGATTGAACTCAGAAAAACAACTTCTGAAGGATGACCTTCTGTTTAAATTTTGATTCTTCATTATACCTGGCAGGGATCACCCATCGTTCAAGCTTGGGGTAGATAGATACCTTCTCAGAAAAGCTTCCTGCCTCCTGCCGAGAGCCCCTAGACAGGGACATCCATCTCTGCCTTGCCAGCTTGGGACAGGCATGTGCAGTAGGTATTAAGAAAAGCATATCTACTTAACTCCAGCATTGGAAACATCCACAGAAAGCTATAGCCCATGGGTGGCAATTGTTTAAGGCAGGCCAATGGATGTTTATCTTGACTTTGCTGCCATTCAAAACATAAGCCTAAAGGGCCAGGGAGATGATGGCTCAGTGGAATAAGCGCTTCCCTGGCAAGAACAAGGGCCTGAGTTCAATCCCTGGTTCCACCAAAAACAAAAGCCTAGAGCATTTACCCGCATGAAGTAGAGCATGCACTGTTCCATCCCCAATAACACACACACACACACACACACACACACACACACACACACACACGAATACACACACATCTCTCCGCAGGACCAGATATCAAGGTGGGCTAGAGAGCTGATTTCTGGGCTAAGTCAATTTGTTCAAATGAACAAATGACACAGTGGCTTCTGATCACTTATCTGCTCCAACCCCCTTATCTTACGGGTGGATAAACTGAAGCCCAAGATGAGAACTGCAGAACATGTAGGGGCCCCAACACAACTCAGCCTAAGGTAATCAGTAATCAGATCTGACTCTCTCATGCCTGCCTTCTGTCTGTCTTACAATTGTTTATTTATTGCCATGCTCGGGGTCAAACCCAAAGCCCTGCACGTGCCAGAAGTGCCACACCACTGAGCCACAGCCTTAGTCCTGCCAATCTGGAATGTGGGCAAGGACTTCCACGTGTCCACTCCACCAGGGTTTGCCCACCTCCACAGGCCCTCTGCAGGAGAAGCGGCACGGACCTGCCAGTTTCCGCCAAGCAAGAGACGCAGCACTTCCCTGCCTCATTTTAGAGGCTTAAAGTCACAGCCCCGCCCCATCTAAACTAACATAGCACCCTCTCTGCCTTCGGCACTGTTCTCTGTACTCCGCATCAGCCCCACTGAACAGGACGCTCCATTATTGCTCGCATCTTTCCTGAGAAAAGTACAGCTCGGCCCGGGTTCTAGCCCAGGCATGTTCTTGTGCATATGGAACGCGTCACCTCATCTCACTGATCCTCAGTTTACCTGTTTGTAAAATGGAACCGAGCACCCCAGACCTAATAGCTCTGCTCCATGAGGCAGGCTGCTGAATCACTGCTGGAAATACCAGGAAGCAGACTCTGATGTGAGGTAAGGGAGGATTTCTCAGCGGAGCTGTTCATAGGAGAACAGCGGGCTGCCTAGTGAGGCGCTTCTTGTTTGAGGTGACCCAGCAGAAGCAAGTGGTTACTGCCAGGGGGGTGCAGGGCCCCTGGCTTTTTGGCCTGCACTTCCAGGAAGTCACACAAGGGGAGCTGCTGGACAAGGGGGTTGCTTACTAGATACTTAATGAACTCAGGAGCTGGGGGAATGACCAGGACTGGGCCTGGAAATTTCTGAGGAAAACCTAGCATGGAAAGCCCTGGCCTGTCCAGTTGGCTATTTTTATAGGGAATCTGTGAGGGGAAATTTTTTCCTGAACTCTCAAAGGAAAGCCCCTTTTGACCACCCACTCTATTTTTTTAAAAAAATTTAAATTTTTTTTTTAATGTATTTGGTACAGGGCCTCACTACACAGCTTGAACTCACAGTGATCCTCCTGTTTCATCCTCTGGGCTGCACTGGGATTACAGGCACGCACCACCCCAACCAGTCTCAGTGGTGGCACAACATGTGGTGCCAGGGATCGAACCCTGGTCTGAAAGCCCTTTTTAGAGACAGAAATAAAACAAACAGCAGTAGCCCTTGGGCATAGGAAAAGGATTCCCACCACCGCTTTCTGCAAAGGGCGCTTCGGGGAGGAGGGAGCAGGGTGACGGCTTCTCACTATGTATCTTTTTTCTTTTTTGAGCACATGCAAGTCGTAGGTGTCACACAGGGCTGGAAATAAATTCAAGCGCTCACCTGACCGGTGCAAGGACAGCAAGAGAGCTAATGCCACGACACTGAACTAGATTAATTTTATTATTCGAAAGAAAGCCCTTGAAGCTGAGTCTTTTTTTTTTTTTTTTTTTTTTTTGTGGTACCAGGGAATTGAACTCAGGACCTCACCCTTGCCAGGCAAGTGTTTATTCTACTGAGCTATCTTACCAGTCTGAAGCCGAGAGTCTTGGAGCCAGGCATTTGGGGGCCTGAGAGAGCATCCGGACCCAAAGTGAACCACAGGCAGACCATGGTATAGCCCAGCCGTGCTCTCCGGGCAATGTCTGGGAATAACAAGGCTACACTCAGCTTTCTGACCCTCAGATAGACTCAGCCTTGCTGCAAGGCTGCGAGGCCTTCCACCACGACGTGTGGCCACTCCAGGGAAGCTGAGGGTGCCCGAGGATGTGAGAGCCAGAGCAGCTGCCAGCCTGTTTTAGGGTGCTGTCTGTGTCCCTGTCCTCTAGTTGCAGGCTGCCCTTTCCTAACCCAATCACTCACGAGGGGAGCTCACCCTACAGGCCAAAAATATATTTACGGCCTGATTGCACAAGGGAGGCTATGGGTATTTGCATCCCTGAGGAGAGAATGGCACTTTCCCCAGTTATCCCTAGGGGTCAGGGATCCTGGAATTAAGGAGCCTCTCATGACGGGGAAATCCAGACTCCTTCCCTGGACAGGGCCAGGCCTGAGTCAGCCTCACACCTGCCCTGCCCACTCCGCTCCTCTCCTCTGTCTCTCAGCAGCCAGGCCACCACCCCGTGGCCCATAGCCCACAGCCCACATGGTCAGTCCCTCCTCAGGGATCTTACCCAAGCTTTGCGCTCCTTCTGAAACTCATGCCCCCACAAACGTGGCATCAAGACCTCACAGGTCCCGTAGTACTTCCTCCCTGGGGGCTCATCCTCCCAATCCCACCTTTTTATTTTACTTATTTATTCATTTATATATCCTGGGAATGGATCCCACAGCCTTGCAACTCCAGGCAAGTATTGAGCTAACCCCTCAGTCCACTTGGAAAGTCTTTCCATAGAGGAAGCATTTTTCTGTCTTTATGGTCCTGAGGCTTGAGCCCATGGCTTTGCCCCTACCAAGGACATGTCTTACCATGGAGCTGCCTCCCTCACCCTTCTCTTTAAGAAGTCAGGGTGAATCACTATGGGAGGACTTTATTGACAATGATACCACCTTGCACTTGGGCTTGTTCCTCAGGTCGGACAGAACCTATGGGGGCCAGTGAGGGAGACAGGACAGAGTGGTGCAAAGGTTTCCTGTGAAAGGAAGGCTGCTTCTGTCACCCAGGGCTTCTGTCCTCCAGGGACACTGATAGGTACTCTTCTTTCTCCCTCACCAGGCACTGCCCTAACCCAACAGGGTTTCTTTATTGGGAGAGAGGAAATAGCTTGTTCTGAAGCTGATTTTGTTGTTGTTGTTGTTGAATTCAGACTGGCCTTGAACTCACTGTGCAGCCCAGGCTGGCCTCAGATTCATGGCAATCCTCAGCCTCAGCCTCTTGAACGCTGAGTTACAGGCCTACACTATTACCATAATCAGCTCTGAAACGGAATTCTAAAGAAAAAAAAGTTACAGATGTGTGGTGCAGGCATTGGGCCAGGCCTTCTGAGACTAGAATCCAGAGTAGCTCTTCAGACCTGTTCCTCAGTGAAAGAGCAGGTCCAGGGGTCGGGCAGAGTTAAATTCTCATTCATGGAGGGCACAAAGGAAGAAGGGGGACTCAAGCCAGGAAGCACCTCCAGGGGGCGCCACAACGCCTGGCTCTCCTTGGTCTCCAGCTAGCTAGCTCTCTAGACCCAGCTTAAGGAGCTCCATTGGTGCAATCTGTTAGCGCGGTACTTATACTATAGGCCCAGCTTGCACTCTGAATCCTCCATACAGAGGCTTCCCTGTGCCCAGTGACCAGGGGCTTCTAGGAATAGGAAAGTGAAGACCCTGAGGGCCCTGAAACAGTGCCAAGGGCTCTCAAGTCCACCCATGCCAGAAGACAGGTGTATGTCCTGCCCTAGCTCTGGACCCCTGTAACATGAGAGTCATAACATCCACACCAGCCTCAATGCTAGGTCAAAAGGAGCAAAAGAGATGCAGCATTGGTCCAGGAAGATAGCTTGGCAGTCTAAGCTCCTGCCTGGGGAGTGCAAGGACCTGGGTTCGATCCCTAGTACTGCATGCACCAAGCCGGTCCTGTGCCAAGCCAGCGATTGAAACTGGACATAGTGGCACATGCCTGTAATCCCAGTGCTGGGGAGGCTGAGACAGGAGGATCGTGTAGTGGATGAAATAAATGAGAGAGAGAGAGAGAGAGAGAGAGAGAGAGAGAGAGAGAGAGAGAGAACGAGCTAGCTAGTAGCCTGTGGCAACTCTAACACCAAGGAGATTGTCCTGAGCCTTCCAAAGCAGGGCCCAGCTGAGCTCAAATGGCCCAAAGTCCAGGTGGAACCGAGGGCCAGCTCTGAGAGGCTCTGAGAGTTGGGAATATAGGCCGGAGTTAGGGCGGAGCTGAGGGATGTCAGACGTAGGGTGCATGCCTGTAACTTTAGTGCCCTGAGCAGCCCAAGCAGGAGGATCTCTGTGAGTTCAAGCCCAGCCTGGCCAATTTAGGAACTTAGTGTGGCCATCTCAAAAGGGGGAGGTACTGGGGATTGTAACTCAGCATGGAACCCCTGGGATTAATTCCCAGTACTGAAAATAAAAGCTGGACCCCCCACCTTGCCTAGCCTCATCGCTCCCATCCACTCATGGCCCCTCCAGGCTCCTGAAGCTCAGACACAGAAGGACCTCTCCCCCTGCTCTGGATGAGAAATGGGCCCAGAGAACGGCAGCTGACTTTCCAGCCACACAACATGCTCTGTCCTTCTGCTTCAGAAATCCAGAAATCCATTCTGTTGAATCTCAGAAAACATCTGAGGCATAAGGAAGCAGGAGGGAGGGAGGGAGGGAGGGAGGGAGGGAGAGAGAGAGAGAGAGAGAGAGAGAGAGAGAGAGAGAGAGAGAGGCAGACAGAGATATAGACAGAGACACAGACAGAGACAGAGACACAGAGACAGAGACAGACACACAGAGACAGAGATCCATAGGCATAGGCCAGCGGGAAAAACAAAGAAAACCGAAGTCTTTAAATTGAGAACAGCTGCCCTGACCTCACCCCAGAATGTTGTTGCCTTTTGGAGGGGAAAAGAAAGTGAAAGCTACGCTGTTGATTCCCCCTCAGTGCCCACCACTGTGTGGACTCAGGCCCACCCAGTACCCATAGACCTCCCTGAGGGGGGCTTCCTCGATTTCAGGTCCCAGATAAGCAGGGATTCTGTGCACATCAGGTGGGGCTGAGAGGCCCCAGGTTAACTCCACACGCTGTATCTGAGTCAGACCACCTCCAATTCAGCCCCCTTTTACAATGGCCAGACCCTCTCTTCTCCTTTGACAAGGATTCCAGACCACACGAGGTCCAGGCTCCACCTCTTTTGAGCAGCCCCTTGTGGGTGCCTGCTTCCCCCTTAGGGCTCAGGCGAGGTCTCAGCCTTCTAAGGGCAGCTTCTGGGAGGCTGGGCTGCCTGTGATCTCCCTGAAGTGTGCCGTCACAGGGGTGGGCAGGCTATGTTTCATCCTAAGTCTAGTCCCAGCACTGCCATCAACTCCTTGTGTGGCCCTGAGAGAGCTGGCTCCCCTCTCAGAGCCTCCTTTTTCCATTGAGGAGAGGAGAGGAAGGAAGTGACCTCTGAGGCCTCTTTGGGTTTGACACTCTGAATTTCCATTTGCTCACTGTCCTCCTCCCTCCTGGGGTACTCTCAGCCCACGGTGGGGATGCAGGGGCTCCCCCTTAGGTGGGCAACCCATCTATTGGGGAGAATTCATCACAAGGACTGTGTTTGTGGCTCCCCAGCCAGGGAGACCTCCCTCAGGGCCTGGAGCCACTTTTGCTGTAGCCCCAGCTCTGTGGCCGAGGGGCGGGCGGGGGAGTGCAGCAGGAGGCCCCAGGGCCCCTGAGGGGAGGGATACATTTTCTAGCTCATCTGTAGCCTGGGTAGGTGGAGGCCAACCGAGGAAAGTCAGCCTCCCGGAATGTCTTCATTTACACAAGATGTGGCTGAAGTCACTTCACAAAAGATACACTGTAAAACCCCCTTCCTACCACCAGCCATGTGCCGGCTGAGTCCTTGGTGACCTGAGAAACAGCATGATTTGCATGTAAGTCCGAGTGACTCACTGTGGCATTTGGCCAAGTCACTTCCCCTCTCTGGGTCATTCTCTTAATGTTCATGCTGAGGCCAGCCGAGAGAGGCAGGGGAAAGGCAGCAGCGGGCCGGCTCCCAGCTGAGGTCCTAAGGTTTCCTGTGACAGCCCCACCCCCACCCCAGCGTCTCACAGGGAGTTTTGCTCTGATGTGTAAAGAACAGCCCAGCGGAGCTCTTCTTAAGTGGCCTGGAGGAAGCCAAGCAGGCCAGGCACTTAGTGCCCTGAGGGGTCAGCCAGATTGTGTGATGGCTCTCCACCTGCCAGCCCTGGGGAGTCCCTGGGAGCCCCAGGGCCCTGTCCTCAGCCAGTACTCGGACACCACAGACCGGACTGGGGCCACAGCAGACTTTTGCACACGTGTAAGCCCCCCACCCCTGGCCTACCGCAGAGGGATCCGGATGGCTATGTAGCGGTCAATGGCGATGGCCAGGAGGCTGAAGATGGAGCTCTGTGTGAGGACCAGGACAAAGCAGGCGAAGAAGAGGCAGCCGTGACAAGCAGCACAGAATCCAGTGCTGATGGTGATGGCGAAGGGGATGGCAAGCACGCCCACTGCGATGTCGGCCGCTGCCAGTGACACCACAAAGTAATTGGTGACATTCTGCAGGTTGCTGTTGATCCACACAGCCCAGCACACCAGCACGTTGCCCAGGATGGCCAGCACAGCAATGACCAGCTCCACCGTGATGTACACCGAGGAGCCCATGTTGGGAGCGGCCACAGACGGGCAGGCTCAGCGGGGACGAGGGCTGGGCCAGCTCACGGTCCATAGCTGCAGCCCAGCCTTCCCCGCCCCCGTTGCAGAGAGGCCCAAGCCTGGCGCCCCTTCCTTACAGGAGCCAGGGGCGTCCCTGTGGGGGGCCCTCCAAAGGCTTTCTCACAGACAAGGCTGCTGAAACCAGGCCCTCTACAGGGTTTCCGGAGGCGGCATCACGGCTCGGTTCAGCTTCGGGATTCTCAGGGCACCTGTAAAAAGAAAGCCCTGGTGAGCAGCTGAATTTTTCTGGTCTCTGTTGCTTCAGATTCTACCCCAGCTTCAGGCCAGACATCCTGAGGACAACACTCCATCCCCCATAGCCCACCTGGTCTGTGGCAGTCACAGTCAGAAGGCAGGAGAGCTGCGATTTCACCCCACCAATGAGGAGGACCCGACCTAGGCCCAGACAGGCCTGGGCAGAGCTACTTCCTCCTGGTTCTGTGGAGTTCCTATGAAGAGCCTTACACAAACCTTCCCAGGAAGGGGGAATAAGCGCTTCCCTGGCAAGCACAAGGATCTGAGTTCAATCCCCGGTTCTGAAAAAAAAAAAAAAAAACCTTTCCCAGGAAAGCAGCCCCTTCTCTCAGGTATACGCAGGGTACATGCAGGAGAAACTGTAGACAGAGCCCTGGCCTGTACCCCTACTAGGACCTGGCTCACCCCTCTGTACTATGCAAGGGTCCTGCATTTCACCCACAGCAGGCCCTGAGGTCCCAGCTCTCCCAGTCCAGATATGAGGCCAAAGATCAGCACATTTATGTTTTTCATTTTTTGTCACTAGAGAACTGAGAACCTGTCAATGTTAAGAACCTCTTGTGTTGGCCCCTCATTATCCGCTTCTCAGGCCTTCTGTGGCAGCCTAGCCAGTCTCCTGCCCGCATTGCCAGCACCACAACCCTTCTTCCCTTCCAGAAAGTTCCGTGGGACTGTAGAGTTCTTCTAATCCCATCCATTTTCTCTCACTAGGCCAGTTTTCTCAGCCTACCTCAGCCTGTTCTATCCCCAGCAAGCTCTCTGAGGAACTACCAGCTGCCCCATTTAGGGACAGGCCAGAGACACCTAGAGCTCAGGTGTCTGGAAAGATCTGGGGAACTATCTGGTCCTGTCTTCCATTCCTGGCAGGTAAGCCACTCACCCTCACAGGCAGCACAGCAGGCACAAACCTGAGCCTGCTGCCTCCTGGAGTCCCCAGTGGCACATCTGGAAAGGGGAGGCGCTATGGCTGCCTTCCATGAGGGAGCTGCCACACACCCCCCTCTTCTCCTCCTACGCCCTCTCCCCCAGCTGCTCCTGACGACTGGGGGAATGACTGACTGAAGTCAGAAAAGCAGGTGCCCAGCCAGGACCTGCTGAGGGGCCACAACAAGAACATTTTTCCTCTCTGGAACCCTGTTTCCCCATTTACACAGTGAAGCATTTGGACCCCAGCTGACATGTGGGGCCAGTTTAGCTCTCACCTATGCGTCTATGAGAAGTAAATAACAGATCTGAAAGGGAGCTCCTGGAATCAAATGTCATAAAAAGAGGAATAATTGACACCATGGAAAGTCTTGGTTTTCCCAGCGGGCCTGAGCTCAGCCCAAATTCTAGCTGTTTCTCCCTGAGCTTGTGAAACCATCTCTCCCAGCTAATGTGTCTCTCTCAGAGTCCTAAGAGGCCCCCAAGGCTATCCCCTTTCATCCTAAACTTTCACAGAGCACTGGGAGTACATTAGCAGCAGCCACAGGCTGTCACATCTTCCTTGTCTTCTCTGGGATATGAGGGATTGAGTGGGACTACAGACGCTGGCAGAAGGTCACGCCCAGCCTCTGGCCTTGTTTTTTTTTTGTTGTTGTTGTTGTTTTTAATCTTTTATTTATTTATTTGGTTCAGAGTCTTGCTATTTGTTATGCAGCTCAGACTCATAGTGATCCTCCTGTCTCAGCCTCCTCACCACTGGGATTATAGGCATGCACCACCATGCCCAGTTTCAGTGGCTGGCTCGGCAACAGGGCCAGCGCAGCATGTGGTATCAGGGATTGAACCCAGGTCCTTGCGTTTGCCAGGCAGGCGCTTACACCACTGAGCTATCTGCACAGTGTCTGGCCTCTTTGAAGGGCTAGGGTCTCCCACTGTACACACATTCCAAGTTGGGCAGGAGCTACCAGCGGGCTGAATTAAATCCCAAGTTTCCTTCTATCTGCAGTCCTGTCATGGACTCGGGCTAGAGCTGCTTTTGGAGGCTCTGGCCCCCAACAGACCCTCTCACTCCACTAGGAGGCTTGAAAGGCATCAGCTGACACAGAAGGCCTAAGGAGGAGGAAAGAGAAGAGGCTAAGACCCCAGTAGAAATTGGGGGCACCTGCAGCGGTTAGGGCTGAGCCTTACTGAACCCAGCTGGGCACAGGGCACTTGCCAACAGCTGCTCCCAAAGTGTGTCTCTGGCAGACAAGCCAGACTAAACCGCCATACCCAGCCACACACCATGGGCTTCTGTCCCGGCCTGCAGCACAGGGCAGCGTTTGCCAGGGGTGCACAGGGGCTGGTGGAGCAGGGGCTCTCCATAGACCCACATCCCACCCAAATCGGGGCCTGTGCTTCAGTGTGGCTTCCCATACCCGGCAGCAGGAGCAACAGGCTATCGTCCATTTAGGTCCAATGAGCCCTTGAGGAATTACTGCTCTCCAGGGATTCTGCCTCACCACTGGTGCCTCCCCGGGGAACACAACTATCTGAAGTCCTTCAGGCTCTCTCTAGGGGAATCTCCATCAAAAGAAACCGCAGTCAATCTGACCAGTCTAGAAAGCTGGCATGGTAGACAAGGTGTGGACAAATCAGAACACATCACACTTCTGCTGAGGTCAGACAGGGTTCCCCAGCCTCCCCCACACCCCCAGGTCCTGCTGACAGGTCACACCACCAGTGCCTACCCTCCAACTGCGCTGACTCCATCCCGGCTAGGAGGGCCAGCTTAGAAGGGGCCTGTCTCGGTTATACTTCTCTTGTTGGCTGAGACAAATACCCAACACCCAAAATTAGGGAAGGAAGCGCTGGCCAGATAGCTCAGTGGATTAAAGTGCCTGCTTAGGCAGATGCAGGGACTGAAGTTTGATCCCTGGTGTGCCGTGCTGGCCCCACCCTCTGGGTGCGCTGAAACAGCAACAGCGACTGAGACTGGGCATGATGGTGCATGCCTGCAATCCCAGTGCTTGTGAGGCTGAAAACAGGAGGATCACTACAAGTCCAATCTTTGTAGTGAGCCCTGTAGACGCTGTACTACATACATTTTTTTAAAAATTAGGGAAGGGGGGCCAGGGAGATAGCTCAGTTGAATAAGTGTTTGCCTGGCAAGTGCAAGGGCCTGAGTTCAATCCACAGTTCTGTAAAATAAAATAAAATACAAAAATTAGGGAAGGAAAGATTTATTTAGCTCATGGTTACTGGAGGATTTAGTCTGTACTCAGCTGGCTCCAAGGCAGGGCTGCACATGGCAGAGCAACGCTTCATGGCGGTGGCAAAGAGCAGCGAGTAAAGTGAGTAGCAGCAGCTGGGACAGCTAGCCAGCCTCTCTCCCCTCCTTACATTGTAGCAGGTTACCTGCCCCAGGGCAGGTGCAGCATCCACACCCACAACAATCTATCACAAACTCCAGGAGCCGCCCCAGCACTGCCCGAGGCTTTGGAGGGGGACCACCTAGACACAAACTGTAACAGGGCCCTTGAAGGGCATGATGCAGCCTTTTTCTGATGAGACAGTGTCGGGTACTTGCTGTGGACACCTGCCTGAGAACCTCCTAAGGGTATCCCTACCATCTTCTGTGTTAGATTCCCATTCTGAAAAGCACTGGATACAGAACACCTTTCCCAACTACATCATTGTCACATGCTCTTTGTGCAGAGTCTCACAGACTGCCCTTAACCCTTTTCTCCAGGCCAGCCTTACGTGGGGCTAAAAGCACACATCAGTCTCAGGGGCCTGCTGGTTAGCTCAGTTGTTTAAGCGCCTGCTTATGCAAACACAGTCAAGTGCATGATACCTCCATTCAATCCCCAGACTTGTCCTTAAGGCAGCCTGAGCCAGCCAAAAAAAAAAAAAAAAAAAGTCTCGAGCCTGCACAGCCGTTCCCCCTCCACCCCTTCCCTCGACATTCCAGCAGATCTCCTGGCTGCTACCCACATGTCCTGGATAAGGCTCCCCAGGTCCCACGGGCTGAACCAGAACCCACTGTGGGCTGTGCCTTCCCTAGCCATGAGCCCAGCAGATCACCAGAGCCAGAGGCAGGACAAGGCAAGTCGGAGCAGGGAGTTGGGGAACTGTGTGCTCCTGGAGGAGATCTTTGGGGCTGCCCAGCTGTAGGCTGGCAAGTCAGCCCAGGGCTGGGTGGAGAGGGGTGCCCTGAGTTACAGCCTTTCCTGTGGTGTAAATGCTCCCACCAAGGCCAATTTCAGATTAGGGCCCCCTTGACCAGAACTGGGGAATGATATGGCTGGCTAGCAGGTGCCAGTTGCTACTGAGCTACCAAGTCCTATGCGCCCTTGGAGGCCTCCTGTCTGAAGGCCAGACACTACATGGTTCCTCATAAAGAGCTTGAGCATCCTACCTGAGAACTCAGAAATGATGGATATCTGTGTTCTCTCTGGCCGCATGAGCCCCACTTTACAGATGAGGAACCTAAGGAACCAAAAGACAAAAAGGGACCTCTCCTCCTTACCAGCAACACTCAAGGGTAGTGGAGATTGCCATGTACACAACTGCAGGGCCCTTCTGGGGCCTCCCCCATGCTCCCCTCCCTTTGGTAGCCTCCCTGAGCCACAGGAAGATTGGGGGTAGGAGTGGGGGCTCAGAGCCAGGATTGGGCAATTTCCTATTCCTTTAGCAGGGCTCTGCCTATCTAATTAATCCTTGAGTCATCTGTTGCTAGCCAGGAGGGGAAATTAAATGTTAATGTCATATTTCTTCATGATTGTCCCTTGCTGGGGATGGGTAAGAGGGGAGACACTGTCCCATGTAAAATACAGACACATGCTGTGGGATGTGCGCATTAAGCCTTGAAAGAGCAGTCCCAGATGATTTCCAGCATTCGGAGTCTTCCTGCCTTTACCACCCACCTCACCTGGTCTGGAGAGTTTAATTAAAATTCCTCTTAATCAAAACCTATACATCCGGCCCACCTCTCCTGGCTCTTAGTAGCAAGGCTGTCTGTACACATGCCCAGATGGTGGCGGTGCCTGCTGGAGCCTGCTGGCCAGAGGTGTCTGCTGGCTTCCAGGCAGTGCCCTGCGTGCCTACTCTTGGATGTGGCCAAGCGGAAGAAGGGGGGACAGCACTAAGACTTTGCGTCCTGCAGCCTCCCTGGGCTCCAGAGTCCCAGCTTTAGGGTCATCTCACATTCTCCTGTCAGGTGTTCACCTGTTACCTTGCCTGCAAGGCCGGGAAACCTCCCAACCGCTGAACCACAGGGCCCTCCATGCTACCTTCTGTCACCCCTTTGGGACCTGGGCCTACAGCAGGGAGCCCTGAAGAGAAAGAGCTCAGGAAACTCCTGAGTGGTGGCTGCTGCTACGGGGATTTGGGTCTCTACAGGCCATTCCCTGAGCCCACGATCTCAGCTCTCCTTTCAGAAGAGCTACAAACCCCAACTTCAAAATACTGGAGGAAAATTAAGACAAGGGAAGATAAGCAACAGTATCAAAACCACAGAGATCAGTTCAATGAAGAGGGCAAGAAGGCAACGGAATAAGGAAAGAATTTCTACAGACATTGCGGACCTTCACAGAAATGAAGAAATATGAACAAGAATGAGAACTTAGAACCTTACTGACAGGAACAAAAACAAGTAAAGATGAATAAGAAATACACTTCTGGATATGAATTAAAGAGTAAAGCAGTGGTGGGCTTCAGGCATGCAGGCAGCTGAGAGGAGAACTGGGAGAGGCTAAGGCATGAAGGGAGGTTAAGGAGCACCAACGTGTCTCTCAGCAACTCAGTAGAATTCACCCCCAAAGGGGGCACCAAGCAAAGAATCCTATCTGGACGGACAGGGTGGCACCTGCCTCCAAACCACGAGCAGTGACTGGGCACCTCCTGGAGCCACCGCCGCGCTCGCACCTGCAGAGCCCCTCCTGCCAGCGTCAGTCGTCGCACAACAGGTGCCTTCTACAGCCGCCTGGAGCTCAGCAACCACTAGGTCTCAGCCCCCTGTCCTCCCTGTCTCCCTGGTAACACAGACCCACTTCTGGTGCCTGGTGCTGGCTGTAACTCAGGTACCCGGACAGACGCCCTATGGGCCCCTCCTCCACCGCCTTCGGGTATGTGGCTGCTGTTTTCTGCTCCTGGGGACAGGATGTGGGCAGAAACGGAGAACCAACTCCCTGCAGCTGGAGGATGAGGTACTGGGCCTGCCTCAAAGCAGCCTCACCACCACCAGCCACAGGCCAACCCTCAGCATCGCCCCCAGGGCTGCCAGGCTTGCCACAGCACCGTTCTCCACAAGGAGATTCACAACAGCCCCTGCTGTCCCCTTACGTCCAGGGAGGCCATAGGTCCCCAGCCCTCCTCTCTGGAGGTGGCCACTCACCCCATCACCAGCTGCTTCTCTGCATAAACCTCCTTCAAGAGTCCCTGCCTCCCAGAGGTGCTGGGAGCCCACTCTGAGAGGAAAGTGGCTGGGATAGGATCTGCCCCAGCTTCATCACGCAACTCCCTCAGGCCCGCACATGGGGCTTCCCCTCTGCTGTGGCTCTCACGTGTGCACAGCCTGTGGTGAGACAGCGTCACGTGAAAGACCCAGCACCTGCACCTCCCACAAATAGTGGGTGACAGGTATTGTTGTATTGCCTGAAGCAGGGACAGGTGGTCCTGAGCATACAGACTCCAGAGGACTCTAGCCAGAGGCTGGGTTATTGATGGGGCAGTGCTAAGTACATTTTTTTAAACTTTTTTTTTTTTTTAATGTATTAGGTACAGGGTGTCACTGCACAGCTTGGACTCATAGTGATCCTCCTGTTTTTAGCCTCCCCAGTGCCAGGATTACAGGCATGTGCCACCATGCCTGGACTCAGTGACCGGCTCTGCGCACCCAAAGGTGGGACTGGCATGCCTGTGATGCCAGGGATAAAACCCCAGTCCCTGCAGTTGCCTAAGAAGACACTTAGTCCTCTGAGCTATCTCACTGGTTCTTAGTGCATTGAGGTGGCAGGACGTGGACCTTATGGGGCCCTTAGGACATGGGTGTGATGATACAGCCCTACAGCCTGAAGGAAAAGGGCAGGGGGAGTACCTGAGCATGACCCTTAGCCCTGCCACTGCCTCCAAGAGGCCATTGTGAGGCAGAAGCAAAGCCCCTGCAGCAGATGGGCTTATATCTCTAACCCAGGGGAGGACCCTCTCTCTGGCCTCTCCTTCAGGTGACAGCTGCAACCAAAGACCTAGGCTACTGGAATAGCAGCATCCATATGGAAGGCGCCACAGAAGAGCAGCACTGGCCCCTGTGCAGCAACTTCTGAAACAGGCCTGATGTGCAGGAGTACAGGGAGGCTTCTCCTAGGAGGGGGTCTTTGATTTGGGGTAGGAGGTGAAAGGAGAGACATGGGAGAAATTCTAGCAAAGCAAACAGCCTGTTCAAGGCTCTGCTGCATATCACAGAAGGCCCAAAACAGTCCTGGAAAACCATAACAAGTCCTGCCTTCCCTAGGCTATAGCCAGCCCCTTCAGCGGGCTGCTGGAGAGACGCTCCCCAGTCCCTGGCAGGACCTCATGGCTTTCAGGTTTCATGGGATAGGCTCTTCCTTTCTGCCACTAAACTGTTTCTTCCCACCAGCCAGGCCCTGGGTCCTGCTGAGGGGGTAACCTGTCTCCTGGGAACTCTTCTGTGTACCCCAGCTCTGTTCCCTCCCCATCTGGACCCACCACAGACTAGGAGCCCAGCCTTAGGCAGTTGGTTCCCTCTATCCTCCTAACTCCTCTATCCCCACTGTCCTCCTCCAGCGAGGGTCCCTGGGCCACAATCTACCCTTTGGTGGAACCCAGTATTTCCCAGAGCCTTAACCAGCCCTACCCAAGACCCTTGAGGCTAAGGATGAAACCCGGTGACTCCCTCCCTGGCCTGCTGTAGCCAAAGCCACTATGGTCCTCAGGGTGGGGACACCAGGGCAGCACTGGCTGGGCATAGGAGTGGCATGAGGAATCTGAAAGGTGCGCAATCACCCAGTAAGACCAGGGAGGCTGAGCATCAGAAGCAGAGCATAGCATGTCCAGCACCTCAGGCGGGAGGAAGGCAGACTTCTGGCTCGGGATGCAGTCCTCAGTCAGGGAAGGAGGCAGACAAAGGGAGCCCGGACCTCTCTCTCACGGCCAGGAGAACACCTGTGCAACCCCACCTCCACCAGTCTCCCCACTAGTTCTGGGGAACCAGCCTGGGTAGATAGACACCCGCCACCCTGCATCCGCCACTCAGAACGCCCGGTCTCCCGCTTCCTTCCATAATACAGTCAGGGAAGTTAAAGTCTAAATGTCCAGAATCCAGGGCCCTCTGCTCTGCGGCCCCAGACCTCTGCCTCTCAGGTCCTGCGACAGCTGTCACTCTTCCCGCCATTCCTACCTGGGCCCCAGGCAAGCTGTGCGCACCCGACACCCGCGGGCCCAGCCTCTCCTGCGCCCCCGAAGCCCGCCGCGTTCTGCCCACAGGACGAGCCCGACGCCGGGTCCCGCCGCGCCCAGGCGTTCCGGATGCTGCGCCTGGGCGGCTCGGGATGCCTCACCCCGGATAGCGGCGCCCGCCCGGCCCTCCACCCGTGGAAGTCCTCTTCCGTCTCCAGGGGCGCGTCCCGCCTCCTCCAGGCCTTCCTGGGCGCCCCCAGCCCAGCCCCGGGCGGGATGCGCTCAGCGCCCGACGGCCCGACGGCGGAGCCCAGACGCCCGTTTTGCGCCCCGCTGCCCCTGCGCCGCGCCCGCGCCCCTCTCCTCCCGCCAGCGTACCTTACGGGCGCTTTGGGGTTGTCCCGGGGACAGCACCCCGCCTCTACCCGGCTTAGGTCGTGAACGCCAGCCACCGCGCGTTACCGAGGCTGCCGCGGGGCAGGACTCGGACTCAGGAGCCCGCGAACTCGCAGCTGGGGTTTCGGGAAGAAAGGGTCGGAGCGACGGGACACCCTTCACCCAAATCCCCTGCCCCTGCCTCTTTCGACGGCGCCAGGAGACCAGACCGCCCTGCCGGGACCCCTGAAGCCCCAGGCCTCGTATCATGGACCTAGTACCCGGCGGACCTGCTGCTCGCGCGCCAGCTCCCGCGGTCTCGGCGGCCGCTAGGGCTCGGGCTCCAGTCGTGGCGCTCGCTGGCGCCCCCTGCAGGCTGTTTCCAGACGCAGTTGCACCCACTCTGCTCCGTCGCACCGGGAAAACCGAGGCCTGGAGACCTGCGGGGCGCCAGAGGTTATGTCCCTGGCAGGGCTGGGCCGCCTCGGATGCCCCCAACCCCGCAGTGTGACCATTGTAGGCTCCATCCGTCCCAGCCTCCTGCAGCGCCACAGCCCCTCCCCTACCCCAGAGTTTCCCACTTCACCCCGCCCTTTGAAGTCCTCTGGGCCCCACCCCTGCCGTCACTGTCCTCCTAGAAGAGCTCAGGGCCGCCTCTGCAGCTGTGATCCTCCCTGGGCTTTGCTGTCCCTTGTCGTCAGATCTGGTCGGCATTGTTGCCCCTGTGTCACTCACTCCACATCCCAGATTTTGGACTCAAGTCTCTCTTTTTGTTACAGACCCTGGTGCCTGCTGGAGCTATGTCTCCGCCTCCCTCCACTTCTTTGAACTACAGAGGAAGGTGAGAGTCGCTTCAGCACCACAGACTTAACTGGGAATCTCCAGCGACTCAGGATCTGGGAACTCCCTCTCCTGGCCTTTGCGTTGGAGTCTTATAAGTGGGAACTACTTCAGATCTAGCCTCAGCTAAGCCTGCAAGAGGATCTGCTTTTGACTTTTGTGTCTGGACTAATCTCAGTTCTTTTTTCACAGCAGGACAAGCCCCTCAAATAGCCAGACCATCGGTAGTAGAGGGATTTCTGGAACACTCTCCTAGGCCGGGTGGGTTTGATCTGGGCTAGGTCTCAGGGCCGAGGCCAGGGTAGAGGGATGGCTTCTGCCAAAGTGGCTCCCTGCTTCCAACTCAGGGAGGACAAGGTGGGTGGGCAGTGGGTGTGCAGGCACCTGATCAGCTCATCAGGAGCCAGAAGACCAAGATGTTGATTCTCGATTTTCTGGGACTCACCCTGGATCACCTACCATCTTCCTTGGCTCATCACTAGGGCTAAAGCCTGGCCTCCTGTTCCCACATGGCCAGCTCAGCCCCTAATCCTTGTGTTCACTTACATCCAGAGGATCCAGATCTCCTGGCAGAGGATGGTGGGTTGGGTTGGGTAGGTACCTGTACCCACAGTTAAACTTGAGGACCCCAACGGCCTGTATGAGACCCTGGAACACTGCTGGTCCCTGTCTGCAACCCCTGATACTTGTCCAACCTCAGACCCAGCCATGTTCCCCAGTCCTGGCTTTTGCTGTCTGTCCCCCCCTTCCCAAGGTCCTTGGTGTCTTTCGTAAAGGGCCCCCTCCTACTACCACCACCGGGAGACATGGACCCTGGAATCAGTGGCTGGGGCCACCCTAGGATGTAGCTTTGCTGCAGGCTTTCCACGGATCCATTCACTCACTTCCACCCTGCCATGTCTTGGAGCTAAGCTAGCTCTGTACCATACCACAGGGTACAAGCTGAGGGAACCTCTTTAGGGCCCTCCCTCTAGGCCCTTGGCTCCCTGTCCTTGTTTCTGGGTCTCTCAGTGAGTGTAACACCTGTAGTGGTTACAACACGTTCCTGCCCAACCATTTGTATTGGACCTGAAGTTCTCAACACACAAGGAATATCATGTCTCTAGAGGCACCTTAAAGGGGCTACGAGAGCTTGTGAGTCAGAAACAGCCAATGGCCGATGGTCCTTCTTGCTCCACAGTCCCTGGTTATAGACTCCAATTATTGCTGTTCCTTCTCTGGGGTGCAGCATCTTCCCCTTGGTCTTCTACATACACAGCTTGGCCTTGTGTGTATAACCTCACTCAGGAGGAAGGGCCTTCAGGATCATCATCATCATCATCATCATCATCATCATCATCATCATCAGTAGTAGTAGTAGTAGTAGTCTTTTTGAGACAGAGTCTCTGCACAGTTTGGCTGGCCTTGAGCTCACTGTGTAGCCCAGGCTGGTCTCGAACTGGCACCGATCCTCCTGTCTCAGCCTTCCAAGTGCTGGGATTACAGGTGTGTGCTACCACGCCTATCCAAAGCCCTTGTATTCTGTCTCAGGGTCCTGGTATGGACACCATCTTTTGGTTTTCATGACTAGGGTTTGGGGAGTTATGTCCTGAGGGCAGGTGGACAGGTAAGGCCCCGGCTTGCCATAAGGAGCTAGGTGCCACAGAGGCTATCAGGAGTCAGGCAAGGTCCCTTCCTGGCCTGTTAGAGGGAGAGGAAGCGCTGTTCCAGTGGTCCTTGTCATCTGCCACACACTCTAGCCCAGGTCTCTAGTGAAGCTGTTGCCAGAGACTGGGCACACTATAGTCCTTGAGGTTCAGTGATGGGTTGGCATAAAGGAGGGCTGTTTGCCAGCCTGCCCTGCCAGTACCTATGTCTCTTCCCTAAATCCTCTTGGGGTAAACTGTGCTGCCTGCTCCCTAGACAGGGCCCTAATCCTCGGGCTTGGCATAGGTGCCCCTTTGTCAGGCTCCTTGGGTGCAAGGCTGCCCTGAGAGTATAAGATGGCAAAGGGCACAGGCCTCTGAGCTTGGCCACTGCTTTGCGCCACCATACCCAGTCTCTATTGACAGCTCAGCGTGCCCCAAGAGCCAGGTCGGCATGGACATGAGGATGTCTCTGGAAACCCCCAGCTTCTAGCTCTGGCTCTTGGTTTCCCTGTCCAGTCCCAGGCAGGCTTTGAAGGCTGCGTGGCTTGCCTGCCCTTCCTTCCGTCTGTCCAGGCCTCCACTATGCAGGCGAGATGGTGGGGCCAGTGGGGCCCTCTCCTGCTCCAGAAAAATCCGTTCTGACTACCTACTCCCACCCCACACCATGACTGTTTGTTCCTGCCCAGGATGCACCTGGGTGGCCTCTGGCCCTCATTGTTTGCTCTGGGGCCAGCTGAGCCGCATCAGGGAGCAAGACATGCCAGGACTAGGACCATGTACCCAGTGGGTGTGAGGCCAGAGTCCCTAGGAACCAAACCAGCCATCTTATGGTGCCCACTCAACTTCCACTTCAGTGAATGGAACCTTTACATGGCCACAGTTTATCCCCAGTCTGAAGGAGGCTCTGAAAAGGTAAGATTGTGCTAGAGGAATCAATCCCCAAGTGACCAAAGGCACAGCAAACATATGAGCACCACCGTCATCCTCCAGTTGAGGCCTATGGGAAAATGTTCCATCTCAGGTCTGCTTCTGACAGAACAGACACAGCAATTCTGTCTTGGAGCTGCTCTGGCACATCTACATAGACAGGAAATGGACCCTGTGGGGAGTGAGCCTTGTCCAGGCTCTGTGGTGCACAATGATGACAACCTCTGTATCCACCACTACCCCCCATGCCATGGCTCAGCCCTCCAACTCCCAAAGATAGCCGTAAGCCACCTCCATGTTCTCCCTACACTCTGAGGCCTGAGATCCTTGAGACCCCTCCCCAGTATCATAGAGCATACCTAGCAGAAGGGGCTCTTTTCTTTTTTAAAAATGTACTTAGGACAGGGTCTACAGAGTCTCACTATGTAGATTGGACTTGCAGTGATTCTGTTTTCAGCCTCCCAAATGCTGGGATTACAGGTGCACACCACCACGCCCAGTCTCAATTGCTGGCTCAGCACTCCCCTCCCCCGCCCAGCCAGGTCAGCACGGCAAGCTGGGGATTGAACCCCAGCTGCTGTGCTCTGCCTAAGCAGGTGCTTTAGTCTGCTAAGCTATCTGGCTGGCCCAGAAGGGGCTCCTTCTTAAGGTCACCATTTTGCGGAGGTGGGAACAGCCCCAGTGTGTCCCAAGTGCTTGTGACATCTGGAAGAACATGTCCTAACAAGTGCTTGGTGCTCTCTCTGGCTCCCACAAGTATCAGTGGGAGCCAGTGCTAGCTTCCCTGATGAGCACATCTGCTTCCTCCCGGATGGGTGCTGTCTCTTCTGTCTCCTCACAGGTCTCAGCTTCCAAGCCTGCAGTCTCTGCTGCCCTCTCCTCACACTGGGAAGCTTTCCTGTCAGGCTTTCACAGAGGCTGGATTTTCAGCTCTCCACACGCCTCTGACCCACCCTCATACCTCCACACGGACTGCTCAGGGTGGTGTCCTGTCCCCCTACACTCCCACTGACCTCCTGAGTAGAAGTGTTTCCGAGCTCTGGTTAATGGAGTCATGAATCCGGCAACCTAGGATTTTAGCCACCATCTGACAGAAGAGTGGCTGTATGCCAATACCCATTATCTGTCCCTGATTCCCTGAAGAAGCAACATGAAATGATCTATACCACCTGAAGCTGTGGGAAATAGTTTGCCTTGTGAGAATGTGGTCAGTCTGTCACAGTTATCAGGCCCAGGATCCCTGGTGCATGTTTGGAGGGGTCCAATGGATTTTTTCTGGGTCCTTCCGCTCTTCTAGATACCTGAATTCTTCCCTTCCCACACATCAATGCAGCTCGTCAGAGGTTCTGGAACCTCTCTTAAGATGGAACCTGAGTTTCCTCAGTGGTGCTGCCCCAGGGCAGGCATTGGGAGTTCAAAGTCTGCAACATAAAGCCTGTGGGCTGAAGCTGCAGGCACCAGGGAAGTACACTGGGCCACAAAGACTGATGAGGGATCAACCTCAAGGTCTGCCTCTGAGACAGAGCTTACTAAGCAGGGGGCATGGCACCCCTTCCCATTAGGGACAGCAACTTCAGTTGATTCTTACTGACCACCTTAGCAGGGGACATAAATCATGTCTGGTGAATGGGGTGGGGGCTGAAGCTGAGTACTGGCCTAGTCCCTGCATTCCAGCACCAAAGTCGAGGCACTCAGGACTGGGGGCTACACTAGTCACCCTTGGCGACTGCCCTAGGGTGGGGCTCATTAATACTCTCAGGACATCCTAAGGCCAGGTGGGCCCGCACTCTCCCTCGGACCTCTGATCCTGCGGAGTCTCAGTTATGGGTAAGATGCTTATCCCGAGTTTTCTGGTGTAAGGTGGGGCCCCGCGGACCCCCACGCAGTATGCATGAGGTGGAGTGCTGAGGGCTATTTCAGTGGATTCAAATGATCACATTCAAGGTGCAGAGTGGGCTAACACAGCTGTGCAGAGCACCTGCCTCATCTTCAACACCACAAAAAGATGCACAGTAGAGATGTAACTTGTTGCCTCTGCGTAATTTCTTTTTGCTTCTCTGCATTTTATACATCTCAAAATTCATCTCTAGAACGGTAACAGTTTTAGAAAGACAAAACCCCTGAGGATGCCTGATTGAGTGTATCTGGGCTATGCCAGGGGCTTCCACTCTGACGGAGCAGCTCTGCTGCTGTTTCTGGCGTATTAGCACACATCACAAATTCTGGTCCCAGCATAGGTCAGAACCTCTGGGATCACCTACCCTACACCATGCTGTGGCTTCACAGTCCAGACACCTGCCTGAGGCTGCGTGGCAGGGGCTGCAGCAGGCACACCAGTCTCCTACTCCAGGCTGGGTGCTCCATGTGCATGGTGAGCGGGCTGAACGCTGGACCAGAGGTGGCCTTCTTAAGTGGACAGGGATCCAGTTTGGGTTCAGAGGCAGTCTGGATACATATGACACAGGGTCTGAAGGACAGGGGTAGGGAGAGCAAGCTAGGAAATTCCAAGCCAGATGTGTCTTAACAATTTAATACATTCAAGAATATTTACTAGAACAAAATGACCAAGTATCATCAGTCAGTCAGCAGAAGCCTATGACAGAAATAGAAAGGTAACTGGCCCTTTTGCAATAAAGCTTGTGCTTAAAGAGGCAAAATGACTTCCTGGAGGCTACAAGGCAGTACCCACTTTTAAACACACATGACCATTATAGTTGCATGAATACAGTCAACAGTGTTGTGAGGGTCCTACTAGGAAAGGCAAAAGTACTGGAGTCCTGGCATCTGCAGACCTTGGGCCAATGTGGGCAGTCTGACCCTCATGGGGGATAGGGGCCCTGAGATGAGCCTCCAGGCAGGTGGGGCCATGACAGCCCTTCCCAAGTCCACCTCTGATTCTGCTGCCATTCCCAAGCTTGATGTTGGGCCCTCAGTGTCCAGAGGAGACTTGTCATCCAAGTGAGACAGACCATCAGTGACCACCGCCTTCCTTCAGAAGATTCTGGAATTCCCTGTCCCAGTATGAGCTGTGAGTTGGTCCTATGTGGCGAGCAAGGGACAAAACTGCCAACTGCAGGCTCAGAAGTCTTCTCAGTCACATAATGGGCCCCTCCATCACATAATAAATAATAAAAATATGACCAGACACTCTGGATGCACACAGTGGACAGGCTTTCTAGAAGGTGAACAAGCGTAGAGGCAGGAACTCAGAGAAATTAAGTGGAGAGACACTGAAAAAGATGGTTCACACATGAGCAGTCACTCAAGCTGACAGCTGTCAGCAGAGCAACAGGAAGAACAGCACTTGGCAGGGAGGACCAGGCTTGGCATCTGTGGAAGCTGGCATTTGGGGTATCCTCTGGTCTCCTCTGAGGTTAACGCTGCCCACCTGCCTCTTTTAGTTGAAAATCAACATTTCACGAAAAGCCTTAGCCAGGAGCAGCAGCCTGTGCTGCCGGGCGAGGACATTCACCCAGGGTGGATGGGCAGCACTAGCCACCTGGTGATGACAACGCTGCAGGCCCCAGGCGTTCAGAGCCTGCTTCCTAACAGCTACTTTCTTTTCTAGGCCCCACACATGCATTAGACTCCTAATACAGAACATCGTGCTTGAACTCTGCCCATGACTGAACTGAGTGGTCTGGGGAGCCTGTTCCTTGCACCCAGTCAGTGGGGCTGCAACTAGGCTTTCCATGGTGACCGGTCTTCCTCGTGGTGCCCAAAAGTCATAAACTGGAAGGTACAGGTTTTGACATTGTTCAAACCAGCAACTACTGTGTTAGGCATACATGAGATATGGGCTGCCTGCTCCCAAAAAGAGCTTTGAGTCCCAGCCTAAAAGACAGCAGTAAGACCACCTCTGAGTAAGGCTTTGGCTCAGACAGCACAGATCCAGCACCTAGGGAGGGCGGGCCTGGAGCTCTGAATCCCTGCTGACACCCGCCCTGGTGAGGAGACATGGGCTGCCCTGACAAGGGGACGTAAGGCACTTTCTTACATTCCTGCCCAAAAGGAGTACATCTCAGCAACTCAGCAGAGACTAAGTCACACTGTGTGCTCATTAAGCAAGTCCTTTTTCTTGGCTACTTGCTACTTCACTCCCTGTTCTTGCTGCATCATGCTCAGATTTGTGTTTCATTTCTATGCTTATTAAAACAATTTAACTTTATGGTTTTGCTGCCCTTTTTTTTTTTTTTTTAAAGACAGGGTCTCACTATGTAGCCCAAGCTGGCTTTGAATGCATGGCTCCTGCTCCAGCCTCTCAATTTCTAGGATTACACATGTATTCTACCACTCCTGGCCTGAAACAGTTTAACTTTGGTACTAATAGAATAGGAGCTATCTTCCACAATATTGCTCATAATAAATCAAAATTTTTAACTAAAACTCCCTTTGATCAGTCGCTTTTCTCAGAAGCCTGAAGCCAGAGCTGGAGCTGGAGGCAGGTAGCCAAATACCAGACAAGGGTCCTGCCTGCTTCCTGCCAACAGGGGCCCAGCAATAGCAGTGTGGACTTAGCCAGCTGCAGGCTATGACATGGCACCATCTGCACTGTGCTTCTGTATGTTTTCTTCACTGTAGTTGAAAACTCCTTCATGGTGGTGGCCAGGAAATCCCTGTCACATGGAAGGGATGGCTTTCCCAATTCTGTAGTGACATGCTCCTACAAAACAGACCCATGTAAAGGGCAAGGCTGGTTCTGCCCTAGCACTAAGGAACAGTCAATTGCCAGGCACCCACTTTCCCCCTGGTTCTCACCAGCAAAGGGACCCAAGTGAGTGACAGTCAAGAAGTGCTATAGCTGAAGCCTTTTACCAACCTCTAGAAATCTCCTATAATCCAATCCTTTCCCCCAAGTTTAGCTGAGTGTCAGCCTTTTGTTTTCATATCCTAGGCACTAATGGAGTTCGATCTGTCTTCAGAAGGAAGTTGGCCTGCATGCTGTGTGCTATGCCCACATGCACTGGGTAGACAGGCCACACGGAGAGGCCCTGGTGTGTGCTATGAGCCACAGGCCTGAGTTCTTCTGATGAACAGGTCCAGGCTGAGGCTCACACACTGTGGGACGGCCCAGAGTTGCCGAAAGCTTTAGGGGTGCATAGCTAAGGGTCTTGGTGTTGCTTTGTTACTGCCGCAGTCCCCAGTCAGCAGCAGCTCCTCCTGGTATGCTCAGGTTTCAAAGTACTTGTAGATTGCAGTCACGTACAACATCACATTTTGCCAATCTGGTCGTTCGGTGCGTACCATCTCATTAATGTCCTAACAGAGAGAAGGGTCTTGGTTAAGACTGTAGGTCACCTCCTGGCCCACCCCATTGAGTTCATCGGCAATAATGCATAATCCTAACTACACGTTTCACTGGCCTAGCTCAGAATGCCTCCACAGAAGTGCTTCCTTTAGGGGCATCAGCATTATCCCCAAGCTGCCTGCTTCTGCCTGAGCCACATGCAGGGTCACTGCCACAGACTGTTAAGGCTGTCTGGTCTGGGTGAACCCCATGTGCTTCTCTTCCCAGATCACTATCCATGGGACACTTCTACAGCTACTCTTAACCCGAGACACTAGCTTAGGAGAGCGCCTGTGTTGGGGACTCCTATCACATCAACACTGATGACCTTCACCACCAGATGCGTCAAATATCATCAAAGACACTGTACTGCCTTTTTTTTTTGGGGGGGGGAGGAGGGAGTGTTACTGGGGATTCAATTCAAGACTTTCACATCCCTACCTCTTCTTTTTTTTTTTTTAATTTTGGGACAGGATCTCTCAAAGTTGCTAAATTGCTCAGGTTGAGTACAAACTTTCAATTATGCTGCTTCACCCTCCCAGTGCTGGGATTACAGGCAGCACTGTGGACTATTAAGGACTATTAAGGTTGTCTGGTCTGGGTGATCCCCCCACTACCCATGGGACACTTCTTTAACTACAAAATACCAGAGACCTGGGAGATATGAATTAAAGAGACAGGGAAATGAATGTGGGGAACCATGGGCCAATCAGCTTCCACTCAAGTAGGTACCTCAGAGCCTGTAACTCACTCCTGCTACTGCTAAAGAGCAAGGCCTGCTGCTGGCCAGAGAGGACCCTCTGATGGGTGGGGAACCTCAAACATGTTGCAAAATGGGAAAGGCCGTCCATGGTTACTTGGTACAGAAAGCAGACGTCTGTTCACTCACTGTAATAATCTTGACTATAGTTTGTTAGGATAGAGAAATCACCTACATTTTATATATGAGAACTTTACTTCATAATTAAACTGCTAATAGGAACATAAATGAGTAACTTATTTCTCTATAACTGAACAGAAGCCTCCCTAAGCAAGCATAGTTCTATGACTTTAAAACACATTTACAATATAAATATGAGTACAAATACTTCTTCAAAGCACATGCAGTTGGTACAAACTGAGGGATGGGCAGCCAGATGGGGAGATGGCCCTAGAGGACTTTGGGCAGATCTGGGGTCCTAGGCCTCAAAGGATACTTTCTTTTGTGAACAGCCCTGAGTATCCCAATGAGCTGTGTGGTCTGTACAGTGCTACAGTATTCAGTCTATGGAGCAGAAGAGTCTCTAGGTGTGGAAGCAACACTCTGTACTTGGACACACTGTTTTCTCCCAGACAGTCAGGCTTGGTGATGACAGCATGTGCTCCTGCCAGAAGTATGGCTGTTATAAGCGTTGACAGGGACTGGACAGCAATCTGTACAAGGACCGAAGCCCGAAGCCCATGCAATTTTCTACAACAGGCTCCTGATTCAGGCAGGAGATTCTCAATGTTACTGTAAGAAGTGCAGGCAACACTCTTCAGCTTATAAAGCTCTCCTCTTTGACCCAAGATGCACCTTATCTTCTTTTTCTACATTGACAAAAGGAACACAGACCTGTGCAAAGTGCTTTGACTGTGACATTGATAAACATGAGGGGGTCCCTCCTCCCCCCCAATCCAAAGATTCTGTTAAGGAAGAGGCAACCATAACAACAAGCCTGCATATGGCCTAGCTGCCCACATGGGTGCTTTTTGTGAGGCAGAAAGCACCATACGCAGTGGGTGAAATCCCACTTCAGTATCCACTGGGATGGGACACTCCCCACCCTGCTGCCGCACACTCCTTATCATTAAGCAGCTGTAACACCCAGTGACCGTGTTCTTCCTAACCAGGAATGCCCTGCAGTGACTTCTCAGTGGAGACCAGGGACTCACCAGTGTGGATTTGATGCCAACACTTTCAGCTGCCTGGAAGGCCAGTGTGAAGTTCCTTTTCTGTAAGAGAAATCATGTCACGTCACTTTTGCATGGGCAATACTAAGAGAAAGGTCACACGAAGGATGATACTCAATTCTATTTGGGACCGAAACAAATCTACACAGTAGCCCTCAAGATTGGTACCTGTGGATGCCATAGTGGGCCCTGCCACTACAGTTCTTTTCCAGCCAGTTATAGAGCTGTCATACTTGTGCTGTCCTCACTCAGAAGCTCACTTCCAGCATGCAGACCCTGAGGCACCTTGTTATATACCCGAAAAGCTAGAAACACACATCTGCCAAAAGAGTTTTCTTCTGGTAGGGACCTTCAAGGGCTGCTATGGTGACAGGTGGTGGACCAGGACAGGGATCTTGGGTCTGTTCTTTGACCCTAAGGAGCTTCATGGATGGGACACACCAAAGCTGGCTTCTGACTACACAGAGTTGGTGCTTCTCAGCAGTTCTGAGACACATAATGTTTAATGGCCTGTGACAGTCAGTCTTGGTACCGAGGTGACAGGAAGCTGGCCCTTTTGGGGGATGATACTCATCTGACCATCCATACCACAAACAGCCCTTCATTGTCTATTTTTAAAAATACTTTTTGGGGGTACCAAGAATTGAACTCAGGACCTTGTGCATGCCAGGCAGGTGCTATGCCACTGAACTATATCCCCAGCCCTTCATCCATTTTTGAAGTCCTTGGCCTAAATGTTGTCAGCCAGGAAGGACTGACTACTCCTACTGGGAATGATGTCACATAGAGAATTTTGATCCAATCAAATATTCCTCAGAGGGTGAGCCAGGGACCAGCTGGCTGAGCACAAGCGACCAAACTCAGAATGAGGCTGAGCCAGAAGGGACTGTCCTGAGTCCACACAGTGCTGTGCGACTTACTGATGAGGGTGCTGTCCTTGGTTCTCAGGCTCTTGCTCTGTGAGAGAACAGCAGAAGCAGGTATCCTGTGGCCCTGCCTTACCTTATCTTGGCTATTCAGTTCTTGATATGGAATGTGCGCTGGAAGATATGTATGCAGGAGTGCACAGAAGGCCAGCCCATCGTTCCAGCTGCTGCTGAAGTTTGTGATGTCAATATTCTGAGAGGGAGAACAAAATCAAATCCTGATCAAGATGAGCTCTGGAGGGACCAAAACATGTTGGAAAGCTGTGTGCTGAGATCCCTCTGGAGCCTATGTCTGGACCTGCTATGGAGTGCCCTCAGTCTACCACCACCTGCAGATCACTGCTCCCATGTTACTCCTGGGCTTGTGAATTATGAGCTGCTCAATAAACTGAGAAGCCCCCAGGCTGCTGAGGTTGGCCTCTCCCACGGCTAGCTGTGGTGATGATGCAGACTACAGATGTGGATGACAAGCAATCAGGCTTAAAGCACCATTTATTTTTTTTATTTTTTTTTTATTAATTTTAGATTTTATTTTATTTTATTTTTTTTAACATTTATTTATTGTGTGTGTGTGTGTGTGTGTGTGTGTGTGTGTGTGTGTGTGTGTGTGTGTGGCCAGCTCAGCCCACCAGGGGGCGCGGCTGGCTGGCATGTGGTGCTAGAGGATAGAACTGCGGTCCCTGTGCTTTGCCGAGCTTGTTCCAAGTAGGTGCTTTAGACCACTGAGCCATCTCTCCAGCCCCATAAAGCACCATTTATTAAAATGTAACTCATTCCCCAGTGTTTGCTGAAGTACTTGAAAGATCTATAAGGGCCAGGGAGATAGCTCAGTGGCATAAGTGCCTGCCTGGAAAATATAAGGTCTCAAGTTCTATCCCCAGCACTGCAAAACAAACAACAACAACAACAACAAAAAAAAAAAAAAGTGAAAGATCCATGAAGTTAGCGTGTATCTCAGAGCATGAGTTCCTAAGGACACTATCCCACTTAAGATACTAATGTGTACCAATGACAATAATAAAGGAGAGCCTGGCCAGGCCTCAGCTTAACTGCCCACAATCACCACAGCTTCCACTACAATCTACTCACAGTTAAAAAAAATAATTAATTATAACACTGGGCTGTGCACTAACCATACCACCTCTGAGAGTCACCACAACTTTAAAGGGACCCTTATTCCATGTCTGACTGAAAAATATTCGTAAGTATGCAAAGAATATACTCAGAAAGTTTTATTTTACTATATGGTCACTCAGCTGGTACATAATCTTTTTTTTTTTTAATACTTTGTGTATTTTATCTTCAAAATAGATACTCAGAGTACAAAATATTGTCACAAAACTTCTCCAAACAATACTTGCACAAACCTTTCTTTTCAAAGAACTAACAGAAACTAGTAATAAGACGTTCTTATATATTTTTTCCTTTTCCTTTCCTTTCCTTTCTCTACCTCTCACCCTAGTTCCTCTTTCCTTTTGAATTTTTATTTATTTGTGTGTGTGTGTGTGTGTGTGTGTGTGTGTGTGTGTCCAGCTCAGCCTGCCAGGGGGCGGGCTGGCTGGCATGTGGTGCTGGGGGATTGAACCACAGTTCCTATGCTTTGCTAAGCTTGTTCTAAGTAGGTGCTTTAGACCACTGAGCCATCTCCCCAGCCCCTCCTCTTTCCTTTTGAACAATTTCTTTCCATTTCACAATAGTCATTGTACATTTTGGTGATTATTTACTCTTTCAGTTTCTCACATAAAGGAGATAATATGATGTTTACACATATGATTATGCTTAATTTCATATATGTATATGGTTTTAAGTGGCATCCATTTACCTTTAAATGTCTCAAGTTTATCCTTCTCTATGGTTGAGTAGTACTCCTTTTTTTTCCCCATAACTTTATTGAGAAACAAATAGCAATGAGACAGTTTTAAACCAAATTGGTAGGACAGTTTCAATCATTAACACATTTCATACATTCTTCCTAGTGGTTATTTGCTGTACAAGATGCAGACATGATAACCTATTTACAAACATCATTAGAACAAATCCCTCTCTTCATTAAGTGAATGTAACTATAGATCTATCCTACCCGCTTTGGATACACAGATACAAAATGGACATTCATCTGTATCCCCTTTTTTGTTTAGTTCCATTATTTGAATATCATAGGTGTGTTAACTGAGCAAAATAATCTAAAAGAGTTCAGTAGTCCATAATAGTATTGGGTCTTCTGCTTGACTGACAATGTCAGAAATTGTTGACCTGAGTCTCTTACAGCTCAACATAACAGCATGGCTTTATGTTTACATTTGTTACGTGGAGTTGCTACTTGTAATAAAATATCTTAATTTCATTTTTAATCCTCTTTCCTTCCCCTCCGTTTCCCTTCCCTCTCTTTCTTGATCCCTTTCCATGGTACATAATCTTTACCCTCATTTGCAAGAATTCTGTAGAAGATGAAACTTCATTTGTAGAAGATGAAACTGTTCATTTTTTGATAATTTACACATTTTATATAAATACTGAACAAGAATAGTTTCCCCAATGCTTTAAAAACTCTTTAAAAACCTTTTCTTTTTTGAAGTAGTGAGACTTGAACTCAGGGTCTTTACACTGAACTACATCCCCATCCCTTTTTTAAATCCTGAGACAGGGTTTGCTAAACTGCCTAAACCAGGCTTAAATTTGTGATTTTCTTGCCTCAGCCTCCTACTGTGCTGGGATTACAGGTGTGTACTACCAGGGTCAAACTGATAGTTCTTAGTACCAAGTGGGGGATCCACTACGCAGAGAAAAGGAGCAGGTAGGGATGACAGGGACTGAGCTCAGGGTTACGAGGATGTGTCTATGTAACTGGTGAGGGGCAGGCCAGGGAAGGCCAGGCAATCAGCTGTTCTGGAGAGATGGACTTTATGTAGCCTCCTGAAGGGCAGCAAATCTGACAGCAATTATTTCACAGGTCATTTTCCTTCACTGATCTGACCTAATGCTGCTGCTTCCAGTTTCTCTAGCCTGACCCAGAAACTGTGTCAGCGACTGCTATGAGTAAAAAGACTAGTTAAGGCACAAAAGGGAAGGAAAACCTGCTAAGCATTGTGGAGTAAGATGGCGGTGCCACCATGCTGTGTATGACTTGGGTATGGAAGGGAATACTAGCATTGCCTGTGTTTTCTGATAACTTATACCAGCTCTCCCCCACCAGGGCAAGGTCAGAAACTCAGAATTAATGCCACAGCCATTAGTCTTTCACCAGGATCTCTGCTCTGACCCTAACAGTCATCACTCAGAGATTCTGATGGTGTCATGAAGGCACTTCAGAACAAATGATGTATGACAGTCACTGCTGACTGAGGCAGGTGTGCGTGTACGCATGCGTGCGCGCACACACATACGGAGTTGCCTATCTTATCTCATCTGAATTTCAGGTAGTAGTTAGCAAGAATAGGCAAAACCATCCATCTGAGAAGAAACTAGGAGCAAGAGAAGTGACCTTCTATCCAAGATGCTCTGCAGGCTGCAGGGAGTACCGGGACAGTTACCCTTGGCCCATGTACCCTGTGAGCAATATATCTAATTGTCATAATTACCCCAGGACCTCATACATGCTAGGCCAGTGCTCTACCACTGAGCTACAAACCCAGTCTACCTGGGAGCAGTCTTGTAGGAACTATGATTCAGAAAGGATCAGACAAATGCCCAGGAACAGGTAGTCTGGGGGTTTAGCAAAGTCAGGCCTAACTAGCACAAAAGAGTTGTCTTGCTTTCCCACAGGTGTCATGGAAGATTTCCTAATGCTCTATGGGAAATACCACATTTCTGAAATCTAGACCTGGGTGTGGAAAAGAAGCAGGAATGAAGTATGCAGAACAATGAAGAATAGGTCAGCACTGGCTAGCTACATGATCTGTAAGGGCCAGTGACGCAGAGTCCCTTGTTCAAAGTGTAGAGGAAAAAGTCCATTAAAGATACTAAAATAAAAGAAGTCTAGCTGAAGCCCAAAGGCCCTCCCCATGCCTCCTAGGACTCCAAATGGTCCTTATGACTAAGTAGCTGATAAAAGAGCCAAGGACGTTAGCCTTTTTAAACAGAACAGGGCAGGAAGCTTTTTAATAACATGTGCAGCTCTGTGCGAGGTCAACGACAGCTTCTCATTCGAGGTCACATTCATTTCTGGAGGAAGATAAACCTCCTTTTCCTGCTGCAGCTGCCCCTTCTGCTCCCTGAAAGAGAAGTAGCTCTGGCAGGCTTGTGGACGTGCCTGGCCTCACTGTGCCTCACAGAAGGGCTCCTGTGTCTTGGCTGCCTGGCTGTGGGACTTGGGCCTTCCCAGCCTTGCTTCCTCCAGATAGACCAGCCTCAGCAGGGGAGGAGCTGCTACTCCGGCAGCCATTGGAGTCCTCCAGGAAAAGGAGACACATCTAGGACACATACAATCCTTTGAAATAGAAACACAGCACAGCTTCTGGGGCTCTAAACAAGGGGCAATTAATGGTTGTACATGACACTTCAGATCAAAATAAAACCCAAACCTAAGGAGAATGTCTCACCTGCGACACTGTTTAGGAGTAAGTTGGGGGGTCAAGAACTCTGAGGCCATTAAATAATAAAACCCAAATGAACCCTAAGCACCTTCTTGTGCCTCTGCTTCCTATTCCCACTCAAAGGCAAAGAGGAAGATGGGAGCTACCTGATCCCAGCCTCGCTCTGTGCAGCTCACCATTTAGCTATCACAGAATAGCAATACAATGACAAGATTAGTAAGAAACACACACAAGTGTTTGTGTGTAATATATATATATATATATATAGTATATATACCAGAGATAAACACACACACACAGTGTCACCAGAGAAAACGGCTTTCCCTTCCTTATCCAGTGAAGAACTCCCCCACACCCCTATCCTCCCGGTGCAGACACATGACAGCCACCACTTCTTCTAAAACTTCAACCACGAGTAGGCTCTCAGCTATTGGGGGAGGGCAGGGATAGGCACAAGATCCTGGGGTCCACATCGTGCCTTTGCAGGTGGCCACCAGAGCTGGTATCCCTGCACTACCCTCATACCTCTGTTCCCTGCCTGGACCACAGAATGGCCTGGAAGTGCTACTCACACCAGCATGAGGTCAGGGCTAAGCTTCTTGTAACTTTCTGAGTAAGGGGCCACATGCAGGTAGGTGATAAGACTGCTGGTCTCTGCAAT